TTTTTTTTTTAATTCAACTTTCTGATCGATAATTCATTTTATATTGATGAATACACACATATATGTATATATATATATATGTATAAGTGTATTGTGTATTGTGTATATCATTTATCAATTGATTTTAATCTTCATAATTATCTCATTTTTTGTTTTTTATTATTATTAATGAAATAATTGCAAGAGTGTAGGATCGAATTTTTATTTTTATTTTTATTTTTATTTTTTTTTTTTTTCGTTAACGTGTTAAATATTCCTGATTTTTGTTTTCGATTAAAATGTTTTAAGTTTTCTTCTTGATATACGTTTTATCAAAATTTGCCATGTTGCATTATTTGATTATAATAAAAATAAAATATATATGTATCATGATATTTCAAAGTATTAGTTTTCATTTAAAAACAAAGCATAAGTTTATTTATTTTTCAATTAAATATATAAATTAATCTTTTTTTTTACATTCGTTAATATATTTTACATATTTTTCATTACATTATTTACAATACAAAAAAAAATATATATATATATAAATTATGATATTTTCAAATAATATTCTCGATTAAATCAAACTAATTATTTAACGATCAATCATAAATTGAATACATTTTTGATTATAATTATTTATTTAAATCCGAAATAAGAAAGAGATATACAAAACAGTAAACAAAAATATAAATAAAAACAAAAATGAGAGATAGAATACGTTTGATTATATTTATTTAACACATTGAACGCCACGCCACGCCCATTTTGAAGGAAATCCCCGTCAGATCACACACTCATTTTCAAGGAAGTCCCCGTCAGGCCCACGTGCGCCGCTTAAATGTAACATGTTATACACTGTCAGCTATCGATGACTGACGTGGCCCAAACGAAAAGTCTAGTGTCACTCACCGATGACTGACGTGACCTAAAAACGGAAAGTCTAATGTCAGCCATCGATGACTGACGTGACCTAAACGGAAAGTCTAATGTCAGCCATCGATGACCGACGTGGCTTAAACGGAAAGTCTAGTGTCACTCACCGATGACTG